TCCCTTATAAATAGAGAAATTATTATATCAATAAAGGAGGATAGACATAAAGTATTACTATTCATTTTTGTTCACCCATCTCTCTCTCTCCCTCCTTGTGGTCTGACACGCTCAATTTTTCAGAGTATGATTCATGAACAAATCAAAATCCAACACTTGCAAATGTATTGTAATCTCTTAAGAAGAAAAATATGATGATTCGAAGAAAACAATGCAGATAAGGGTAAGAAAATCTACTTGATCAGTTAACATACTAATATATTTGCTTTCTGATCATCTTAGATAACTTAAAAAGCCTTTCCAAAGGGAAACGATACTTTCTAATACCTATTATTTGGGTCACTCTCAAGCTTAAGATAAGAATATTTTATCAATTTACGTGCGGATGCAGCTAGATGATAAATAGTAAAATACATAAAGCAATTAAATCACGCATGAGAATGTCGATCTAAACATCCCAAAACATCTACATCACATTGAACCCTACTGCGTCAGTGGTCGTTTTCAGGGTTTTTTTTTTATCCTCCGTAGTATACTTTTCCACTGATTGGTACTTATCCTAATTTAGTATATCATTGTGTAAGTAATATATAAAATTTATGCATAAATAAATAAATATATAAGTAAGAATAAAAAAAATTGAATTACATACCGACAACCCGAAACTTGTTATTTACAAATCTACCACCCTATTTCATACATTTTTTAGATTCTCACTCAAATATTAAAACTTCGACCCATATATTTTTTTTTTCTTTTTTATCAAATTCTCAAAAGTTTAGTTGCGGAATGTGTAAATACATCGATTTGGTGGTCCAAGAAAATTATTTAGGTGGTTGATTTGTAAATATCAATCTATCATATGATCTGATTGTAATTAATTTTTTAAAATATAATAAGATGAATATATAGTGACAAAAAACTGTAATTATAAAGTTTCATTGTTATTGTAAGGATATTTTTTTTAATTATAAAAAAATAAAATAATCATGCCGCGATTAACATAGTCACACACATTTTTTATATAATGACGGTTTGAATTAATAAATGTATATAAATTATATTTGAATATTTAATAATAGAATATTCAATGGTGAAAAATAAAAAAATAATATAATATTTCTTAGCTGAAATGCATTATTTAGTCGATTAATATGCATTTTTTTAATTTAAATTAATGTTTTTCACTAAATATAAATTTCCTCACCCTAAGGGATCATTGAGATCGGGAAAAATTAAAATAGCTAATTATTTAAATAATATAATGTGTAAAAATTTAATTAAAAATTATAGTTCATACATTTAATTTTATTTATTTTTCCAAATTTAGATTTAAAAATTTTGTTATCCATTTTATTCTTAATGAATGTATTATGAATTCGAGCAAATTTATGATTAAATTTATTTAAAATTTCAAAGAAACAGATAAAATACTTTATGCATTTGGTTAGATATAACTATTCATATCGATTACAGCCTTGCAAAATGCTGCAAAGCAAAGGCTACTGTCATGGAGTGTCAAACCATTTGTTTTCCTCCAGGGTGGTATATGACTTCTTTTTCATTAATTAAAAACTTTTATTTCAGCTTAGTGTCAACTCCCAAAAGAGTTCTTCGAGGTTGTGGGCAGCCCAGAACTTAAATACTATTTTTCAGCCCTACACTTAGCCGATGTGAGATTTTTTGTCTGTGACATCCTCCTCCACCGAATCATGTGACGCCCTCGTCACGGATCAGCTCCACCGAGGGACCCATTGGACCATGGAGAGCACACACCTGACAGACATTAATCTACTTTGATGTCACTTGTCACCTACCAAAAGAGCTCTTCGGGGTGGTGGGCAACCCAGAACTTAAATATTGTTTTTCAGCCCTACACCTATTCGGTGTGGGACTTTTTGTCTGTGACATTAGGGTGTGCATTGTTTGGTCCAAACCAGAAATAACCGAACAAATTTTATTAATTTGGTTCGAATTCAAAATTATATCTCAGTTTTTTTTTAAATCTTAATATTCAGTTTTTGTATTTTCGTTCAATTTTCAATTCACTTAATTAAAATTTTTTATCATATTTTAAGGGAATTTATATTTATACCACCAATTTTTAGTATTTATATAACTAACATCTATTCTATACTTTTTCACATTTATACCCCTCAAATATTTCATATCACATAAAAAATATCACTATTTCAACTTTAAAAAATTGAAATTTATCTTTTCATACATAAATAAGATATTTTGATATATATGTAAATGCCCACCTTTTTTTTATTTGCTTCTTTTTTAAACTAAAAATTGCAAGAAAAAATTTTTTTTTCAACGACGCCTTATGAAGAACTTATTAAATAAATCAAAATTTATAATTTAAAATACTAATCAAATGATGTGGCGTTTGTAACAACCTCTTACCCATATGAATTCTACACCAATCAGATGGAGCGAGTTATCTCATTAATCTTTTCAATTAGCCACTTTGACAATAGCAAGAAAGTAGGCATTTATATAAATATCACCCAATTTTATGTCTAACACACAAATTTTAATTTTTACATTTATACCGCCCAAATATTTCATATCACATCCAAAATAACGTTACTTCAACTTAAAAAAATGAAATACTCCTTTTCAATATAAATAGTGTGAGATATATGTAAAAAATGAAATTCATGTGGTAGATATGTAAATACATAAAAATTGAGTCCTAGGCATGTAAATTTTCAGATTTTTTTTTCTGGTTATTTGTCGTTAGCAAGCCACTGATGGCAGCACTGAATAGGTCGGTCACTATTTTCACCAAGAGAAAGTTTGCGCATGTTTTAAATGTGTTGAATGATACAGAGAATCAAATAAAAATCAACATAAAACCTTTTGGACTGCTAGTTTCTTTGTGAACATATATGTTGGATTACTCTTCTTATCTATATTCTTCAATAGAATATTAGAGGCTCCTTATCAAATCTCAAGTCATCTAGTAGGCCCGACATCCATATTGCTTCCTTCATCGCCTTTGTGATTGTAATATACTTAGTCTCCATAGTATATGAAGCAACAATATACTGAATAAACTAATCTCCAATTGACCAGACATCCTACAAATGTAAAGAAATAGCTAGTTGTAAACCTACATCTATGCATATCATCTACCAAGTCTAAATCAATGTAGCTTACATATAAATCAACAATAGATGACTATTATTCAAACACCAAGCCAATATCAATGATACCATTTAATTATCTCAGAATGCTCTTCACAGTCTATCAATGACTCACTCTTGGATCAAACATGAATTTACTACAACACCAACCTCTTGTGCAATATTTGGTCTGGTAATCATGACATGCATCGGACTGCCCACTGCACCAACATAATGAACTGATCTCATTGTGAAGTTTTCATACTCATTTAGGAGCAAATTTAATGGAAGAAGTGTGTTGTCTTCATCTTCAACATTCTCATTCATATTTAGCAGATTTGCCAAAACCTTTATAAAATCATTCAAGTATTCACCAATACTAACCCCACGTCTCATATAAAACATGTAAAGTCAACGCTTCATATGAATACAATGGTTCACACTATTTGAGAGAAATTTATTATCCAATATTTTTCAAAATTTTCTTGCAGAAGCCATCATCATCACCTTATATTTGTTCTCTTGAGATAAACAATTTCAGAGCCATAAGAACTATGATTCATCTTCAACCAATATCTTTCTAACATCTTTTCAGGATGTCATCACTATCAAGAACTTTCACTAGATTCAAAGAGCACCACACATCCATCAGCTGACATCGTCATATGCCAAAACCTTCTTTGTTGTTAAATCTCGTCACATCGATTTTGATGAGATGTGTAGCTACTTGATGAATCAATTTTCTTAATTTCCCCCATCATGGTAGATTTTGAAGTGTCTTACAACATCCTATTATCTATAGGTCCAGCAGATCTCATAACCTAACTTGCTCTAATCTTTTTGCCATGCGTCCACGACTTCTCTTAAATCACAATCGTTTGTTGTCAGAATCGTACCAATCCAGCTATCATACCAAAGTGCTGTGCAAAATAATGTAGAAAACAAAATCACACAACAAACAAACAATTAAATACGATTTGATTTATTTGGCTCGACACAAATCCATCTACTTTAATGGGGAGGAGTTATTCTACTATCAACAGACGGTGAGAATCTACTTTCATGGGGAGGAGTTATTTTACTATCAACAGGCGGTGAAAGAGGAAATAAGGACCGAAATAACATTACAACTCAACACATAAAAATCATCCATAATTCCTTTTATAAATATGACAGCATTATAACATACAAATTAGAATCATTTCTAATATAGAAAATATCATCAAATTAGATCATCTCTAATTAGGTTATCTAATACTAAGTTTTATTGTATGAAAAAATTAATATAATTAAATTTCTTATAATTAAATTACCTAATTTAAATCTTTTTAATATGCACATTTCCTAATATATAATCATTAGTTTTAATACTTCTCATAAAATGAAAGTCATCTTTCTTACAAATAAATATTTTTCTGTGCTGTATAAATTTTTTCGGATGGGATAAGCACTTGTTTTTTTTTTTTTTACTTTTTTCCAATCAATATCAATCAGATGGAACAAAATTCAAATACTGTTGTCTGAAGTTGATTCACACGGCATCTTTAGAAGCAACCATTAATTCCTTCACAAGCGAAAAAGAATTTGGTTAATGCGGAGTTTATTAAGCATTATGCGGCTCACATTTAAACAAAGTTTATATTTTTCAATAAAATTGAATATATGCATATATATATAATATATATATATATATATATAATTTTCTCTCTCTCAATCAGTCCCACATGCCGACTCTAAGAGCCACCAAATCTGACCCATAAACGAATGAATGGGCCCATTTAGCCAGACATGGTTAGAGCAAGCCAGCCTGCCGACAAACAGAAGAGCGGCTGGCAGAAAAAAAAATTTGCGCGTGCATAAAAACTGTGCGTCCGGCATAGTGGATGAGCACATTCCTTCCTTCTCCAGAGCTTAATCATCTGTCAGTCGCTTACGTAGGCGGATTGATTCATTGCAGAAAATTAATTTAGTCAGCAAACCCCCCAACAGAAATCTCCCAATCCTCGTATTCTCCCTTTTCTTTTGCTTTTATTCTTTTCCTCTCCTCCATCTTCCCCGCAACTGAAACCAAAGCAGAGTCTTCTTCTTCTTCTTCTACTTCTTTTTACTGTGATAGAAATGGAGAGGTATGAAGTTATCAGAGATATTGGGTCGGGAAACTTTGGTGTGGCAAAGCTGGTTAGAGATTTGCGGACGAAAGAACTCTATGCTGTTAAATTTATTGAGAGGGGACAAAAGGTTTGGCTTTGGTTTCTCTCTATGTTTAAAAATCCAATTTTGGTTTCTAGTTTTTTCTTGCTTTTCGATAGTTGTAAGTTCTTATGGATTGTTCTCAAGATTAAATAAAAATCCGATTTTTTCTTATCATCTAAGTTCGGTTTTTTTTAAGCAGTCCTATTTTGATAAGTCATGTTATGCAGGTGTTTTTTTTTTTTTTTTTCTTTTCTTAAAAGTGATTAATTTGAATGCTTAAATTTGTGTGCAGATTGATGAGCATGTAAAGAGAGAGATCATGAACCACATGTCGTTGAGGCATCCGAATATTGTTAGGTTTAAGGAGGTACGGAAATCTAATTATTAGTTTAGTTTTGTTATTTTTTATAGATGAGCTGAGCATGATTTAATCACTTCAGAGATGATTTTATGGAGGAAAACTGTACGCTGTCTTAATGAATGTGTATTTAATATCTCTAATTCTCTAGTAATTTATGGGCCTAATTTCAACAAAGAAAAAAAAAGGAAGAGAAAGATGAATAAAAGAAAATTTAGTGGCTCCTTGTGCGATAACTTAGTCTTAAATATCGGAACTTTTTATTATTATAATGGCTTGCGTATCGTTAGAAAGTCTGAAGTCAAGTAGTCTAAAATTAAGTATTGTTCATATTGGAGCAAGTTTAGATGGGCGACTTTTCTTGAAAGTAAACCAAATCGTTGAATTTAATGATAGTCAGAACATGAAAAATGATTAATGTTAATAATTTATTATGTTTATTTAGTTTTATATACTGCTAATTAATATTAAATTATACTAATTATAGTTTAATTACTCCAATTAGAATTGATAAAAAAAATATCGATTAAAATTAGTAATATTGAATCAAACAAATTAGATATATAAATACTAACTAAGGAATTGAATTAATCTTGATGATTAATGTTAGTTCATTAAAAATTTATCGCTTTTAAGTATTGATACCATTTTGTTATTTTTTATTTACTTTTTTTAACATAATTTATTATTTAATTAACATAAGACATTTACTTAGATTAATTATGATTTAATTACTTTAATTAATGTTTACTATAAAAAGGTGAATGTAAGATGATATAATATTTTTTATTTAAGTAGCTGAATGTTTTGTCTCGATTTAACTATATCTAATATTTATCATACAAAATATTTTTTTAGTATTGATACCATTTAACATAGGATTTATTAAATCCAAATTTACTGAAATTTCTTAAATCCTACTTGTAACCACTGAATTTGAAGAAGAATGCAATCACCGCAAAATGTAAACAAAAGTGTAATTCCTATAATTAAAATTCATACTGCCGTCCGCACCATCCTCATTTTGCTAAAGATCAGTAAAGATAGAGAGTTAATAGGAAACACATTGGTTGAGAATATAGGAAGCGTCCGCATATTTCACACATATCATTGTCAGAATTTAAGAAAACTATCATCCCTATTCAAAACCTTGTTGATGGAGAGAAATTACTTCTCCGCACGTCTGGGTTTGGGTGACGGTCTGGATAGACCGCCGTGCAATCCACGGAGATGTGATCACACCTAGATCGTCTTCCGGACATACGACCACCCGCGGTCATAATTTTCCATTGATGCAATAGTTCACATTGGGCAAATTATATTTTTCACTTTTATTCATTTATTCTCTTGGCGTTTCATGAAGAAAGAACACTCTCATTTGATAGACTAGTTGGATCTGCCATTTGATAAATCCTAAGCTGATATCTAAAGCTTAGTTAATCAGTACCTACCACCATTATTATTTACTAGAGGAATTAACACTTTTTTTTTAAACTTAATTGTGATACCCGGTGTTAGTAAACTGGTAATGGGAAGAGTGTTACATCTATCATAACAACTATATCAGATATTACTTTGATTGAGACCTAGAAGCAATTAGGAAACAATATTAACATTGTTAGCTCTAGAAAACATGAAACATTCTGTTAATTACTCTTCATTAATCATAATAACTTCAACATTCAGGTCTTCTTGACATCCACACATCTAGCAATAGTGATGGAGTATGCTTCCGGTGGTGAGCTGTTTGAGAGAATTTGCAATGAAGGGAGGTTTGGTGAAGATGAGGCAAGTCATTCAGCACTTAAAAAATTGATTCTTTTCCTAGAAAAAAAAAATATGAAAAATTACATATAAAACCACTCAATTTATATGCATTTACATATCTAACACCTAAACTTCAATTTATTACATACATTACCACATTACCTATGCATAAAAAGGTGTATTTCACTTTTTAAAAGTTAAAATAGCAGTATTTTTGATGTTATGTGAAAGATCAGGATAGTATAAATCTAACGAGTAAAATTTTGGGGTTAGATATGTAAATGCATAGGAATTGAGTGGTATGTATACAAATGCCCCCCAAAAAAGAGTTAACTACAAAACCTGGCATTAACTTGTTATGCAATTCTTATTTCTATAGTGGAAGTAAAGCCTAACTCATTTATACTACCTGATATTTGTAGGCAAGATTCTTCTTTCAGCAACTAATTTCAGGAGTCAGCTACTGTCATTCCATGGTATTGTTTGTGTCTATCTTATCACATAAAATTATAAATTCTCCTCCATCAATAAGCTTTAATGAAAATTTTATTCCTTGCAGCAAATATGCCACAGGGATCTGAAGCTAGAAAACACTCTCTTGGATGGTAGCAGTGCACCAATGCTAAAAATATGCGACTTTGGTTATTCCAAGGTTAAATATATAAACTAATAACCTTCTATTTGTTTGTATATTTGCAATAACATTGAACATTCAACTCTTTTGTTCTTCAGTCTTCTGTGTTGCATTCCCAACCAAAATCTACGGTCGGCACGCCAGCTTACATTGCTCCTGAGGTTTTATGTCGGAAGGAATATGATGGCAAGGTAATATCTGCTTAATGTGGATAACATAAGAAGGACTTCTGTGATTCTATGTTAAATATTGTGGCCCAAATTCAGTTTAATCTGATTTAAAAACCCACGGTGCCACAATTTGGATGAAAGAGTAAATATGGGATTCTTTTTTAAAAAAAAAAATCACCAAAAAATTGAACCGAACTGAACATTTTTGGATAATCCGGTTGGGTTTTTAGATTAGCAATTTAGATATTCGTTTAAAATATTTAAATGTTTGATTTTCAGTCATTGGATTGGTTGGTGATTGTTGAAAACAAACTATGGGAAAAAAAAATCTAAAAAAAAAATTCTTACTTCCATTATTCCCATGTAAGGTATATATGCAAAGAAATTGGCCCTCCTAATTTAGAAACTTATGAAACATATCTAAAATAAATGTGGAAAGGAAATAACTCTGAAATAAACATAAAGAAGCATAAATAGAAAGAGAATAAAACTAATCAAGGGGTTTCCAAAGTAATCTCCAATTAGATTCTCTAAGTTCTATGAGATGGCTAGCCGGCCCACCTTCCTATCTTTCCACACTCCCTCTCAAGCTTGGTCATAGTTGTTGTAATGACCAAACTTGGTATTGAACTCTGAAAAGGTACTTAAGGGAAGAGCATTGGTGAAGACATCAACAACTTGTTGGTGTATTGAGATGTAGCTTGGCTGTATAATTTTACCTTCAACCTTTTTAAAGATAAAGTGTCTATCAATTTCAATATGTTTGGTCGTGTCATGATGCACAAGATTTTTGGCAATACTGATGATTGCTTGATTGTCACAAAAAATCTATCTTGGTTGATTGGAGGTACACCCTAATTCTCTTAATAAATTCCAAATCCAATTTTTTTCATAAATTCCTAAGGCGAGTGTCTTATACTTTGATTCCGCTCTGCTTGTCGAAACATCTTGCTTCTTACTTCTCCATGTAACCAGATTCTCTATCTGTGAGTTTTCCAGCCTAACTTGCATCAGTGTAGAATCTGTAGACTTCAACTCTTTGTTTTTGGTTTTCTCAAAAATTAATCTATGGCCAGAAGTATTCTTAAGAAATCTCATAATCACGTGCACCATCCCCACATACTCTTCATTTGGACTATTCATTTGTCGGCTCACAATACTGACAAAAAATACAATATCTGACATAGTATGTGATAGATAAATAAGTTTTTTCTACCATTTTTTGGCATCTTTCGTTATCTACAAATATTCTTTTTTCTCTCATGTTAGACTCTTGTTGCGATCCATTGGAGTATTAATGAGTTTGCATCCAATCATCCAAGTCTGCTTAGTAGATCAAAGATGGGTTTCCTCTGTGATATAATAATGCCTTTCTTGGACCTTGTCATCTTCATACCTATAAAATATCTTATGGTTCCTAGGTCCTTGATTTCAAACTCAGTGATAATCACTTTTTTATTTTATAAATTTCTCTTTTATCATCACCTATAAGAATCATGTCATCCACATATACAATCAGTGCAACCATCTTACCACCCTGAGCGTGTTTTATGAATAATGTATGATCAACTTGACTTTGAGACTATCAATTAGATCTCATAGTTTTAGTAAACCTTTCAACTCACGCTCTTAGTGATTGCTTAAGCCTATAGACAGACTTCTTGAGTTTGCATACTAAGTGTATATTACATTGGTGTGTACTGAGGTTGGTGATATGTTGTTCTCAATTGTCCCTAAGGAGCTTTATGTTGACTTTAATTGTTCCTTGGTAAACGGCTTGGTCGACCCTTTGGAGGTGATATGAGCATTAGCCATATTCTCTTAATCTTTCCTTTCATGTTTAGGTTTCCAATCTGCAAGCTTTCTATGAAGTTTTCAACATTTATCTTTGTTACACTTAATTCCCTTGCAATAGTCACATGTAAGACTATTCTTCTTGAGTTTTGCATTATGGGAAGAATTATGGGTGTAAAAAGTCGAGCTTTCAGTACTTATTGAACCCATATTTTCAGTCAGCATCAACTTCTTTCTACTCTCTTCTCTCCTAACTTCAGCATAAGTTTCACGAGTAAATGGAAGAGGCTTTATTCCCATAATCCTTCATCTCACTTCATCAATTCCTTAGTTAGTCCTACTAGGAATTTGATGGCAAAGGTTTCTGCTTGAACAATCCAACGGAGGAGGGCCTACAGTAAAGAAAATTCTGGCTACAAGGAGGATTTCGGCAGCACAAGTGGACAGAGAAGGGTTTGAAAGAAAAGTATCTACTGCAGAGAAGAGTAGGTGAGGGCCTACAACGTGCAAGAAAAGTGTTGGTTGTAGAGAATAGGAGATTTTCAGAGGGCCTGCAAGCCAACAGAGTTTGGAGAGCTAGGGTTTGATTTTGGTCTCTGATACCATGTTGAAATAAATATTAGGATGAAAAATTATTTACTTTCATTATTCACATGCAAGGTAAATGTACAAGGAAACCGGTCCCTTCTAATTTACAAACTCACCAAGTTATCTAATTCAAAGTTGGAAAGGAAATAAATATGAAAAACATGGAGAGAATAAAACTAATCAAGGGATTTCCAAAGTTGTCTCTAATTAGATTCACCAAGATCAATGAGGTGGCCTACCAGCTCACGTTCTTGGCTTCCAAGGTGATTTAAAAATTTGGGTTAAACTGAAAAACCAAAATTTATAGCTTGAGTAACTTATTGCAAACTTTCAAGAATATAATTTAATAATTTTAATTATGTTTTTGAATTTTATAATTTTAAATATGCTTTTGCAGTAAAAAAAATTAAAAAAAAAATTAATCTTTTAATTATATAATTTCAAAAGTATATATTGCTTACAAAGTATGCAATATACATAATCCATTGCAACTAATTACAGTTTAATCAAGGCCAAACCAAAACCAAACTATTGTTTGAATTGTTTTGGTTGCTGGTTTTGTTAGTCAGTTTGGATAAGATGTGAAGTGTAAAAAACTAATTTGTTTTACAAATTTGTAATACAATTATGGGATGGGGCGATGGGGTTTGTTGATGTTAAACCTTTTGTTAGAGTCAGTTTTATTAGGAATTTATGCAAACCAACATATGTTATGAAAATCTTTATGATATTCTCCTTGCTTCCTTTTCACATTAATTTCACTTTAACGGTGATAACGTGCAGATTGCTGATGTTTGGTCCTGTGGAGTAACATTATATGTGATGCTAGTTGGAGCCTACCCTTTTGAGGACCCAGATGATCCCAGGAACTTTCGAAAGACGATTGGGGTAATTACCTTGTAATAATCTCACAGCTCACTATTATGATTTCTGATATGAAATCATGGTTACAATGTCTGATTCAAAAATGTTTATTTTGTCAGAGAATACTAAGTGTTCAGTACTCAATTCCAGACTATGTGAGGATATCAGCTCACTGCAGGCATCTTCTGTCCCGGATATTTGTGGCTGATCCTGAAAAGGTATTTCATTTTCACTTCATTTATTACTTCTGCTTAGTCTGAAACATTAAAATTGGAAAAAATTACATACATACAACACAATTCTTATGAATTTACATAACACTCTAGTTAAATTTTTCACTAGGAACACTTTAGTGTTATAGACCTATGCATCAAAATATGTATTTCACTTTTAAAAGGTAGTGATGATGGTGTAATGTTAAGGATTTGAGTAGTATGCATCAAAACATGAATGTTTTGGTGTTCGACATGTAAATACGAGAACTGTGTGGTATGTATGTAAATGCCCCTAAAAATTACTATACAGTTTTTATATATAATAATTGTGTTGCTGCAAAATTTCTTATAACAGTGCAACAAAAGTGGTTTTCTGATATGTAAGTAGCTTAATTTCTCATTTTATATGGATTTATTTGCCAAAATTTCAGAGAATAACCATGGAAGAGATAAAAGAACACCCTTGGTTTCTCAAAAATCTTCCACTGGAGCTTGCTGATGGCTACAAGGAGAACTTGAAGAATACAGATATGGATTCTCCGTCGCAAAGCATCGAAGAAATAAATTTGATCATAGAAGAGGCAAAAAAACCTTTTGAAGGTCCAAGGCTTGCACATCCCATAGGAGGAAGTCAGGACTACTCTGACTTGGATGATGATGAAAATAGTGGCGACTTTGTATGCCTTCTTTAATGTATGGATATTTTTTTGTTACCTTTTTCTTTTTCAGTATAAAAGCTTTCATTTGTTCTTCTTTGTTGCTCCAGTTTTTAAGCGTTGGGCTGCCATTTAAGATACTGAGGGCTCGATTTTGCTCAAATTAGCTAAACAAGAGGGAAGTAATATGAAAAAGAGCCATATGAAGAGGATTTGAGCAGTTTTTTTACTTATGGTTTATGGGAGTGAAATGTAATCAGGCATTAAAATTAAAAAATATCAGTTGGGTTTTTGATAAATTAGGAATTGTATTTAAATAGTATTTTAAGCTTCAGAAATTTACGTACAGCACCCAATTCTTATGCATTTACTTCTCTCACACTAAAACATTGATTTTTACAAACACAACACCTTACATATGCATTAAAATGTAGATTTCACTGTTCCATATTGTTGAAAAGTATAAATTGGGTGTTGTGTTTGTAAAAATGGAAGTTTTGATGTGAGATGTTAATGGATAAGAATTGGGTGCTGAGTATGTAGATTCCCTTTAAACTTTTGAGTTGGCGAGATCCATCATTCCAGCACTATTGCAGGGTGTTGTGTTTGCAAAGCATTTTTTTTTCATAGTGAATCTTTGTTGAAAGACTGAATCTACTGTAGATTTAAGTCATCCTAGTTTGGTTACTGCCCTTTGTGCTAGGGAGGGATTGTTTGGGGGAGGACGAGGAGCTTATGCACCCACGAATGCCCATCACCAGGACTTTTGTAGATGCTTATGCCTCACTATCTGCTACTTCACCTGAACAAGGGGAGAGTTCAAGACGCTGGACCTCTGTATCATGTGAATCAATCCTTACTGACCTGCCCAGAGACAAGGGGGAGCTTTTGACACTACAGGGAGACATTGCCAGAGACATGAGTGAGTTCTGGATCATCTAGGATGCGATGACTCCGCTTATTATGCCAACCAACACCCATGATAGTATGGGTACATTTACGAACGGCCGGGAGCTTTCTAGGGATTGGGATCAGGGTCTTGTACCACCTCCACCACTATTTACGATCTACAGCCCATCACGTGACGACATAGAAGATTGAGCCTGACCAGTAGAGGATTTGTTTGTGTGGATGATTTTTTTATGATTTTTATGTTTTGTTTGGTTTGATTGTTACACTACAGTAGATATTTGAGATATTTTTTTCTAAGATGTGGTGTGGACATACTGATACGATTGATTATTCGCGAATGTTTTCTGCTCCACTTCCTGTTACTAAACTGCTGTCCTACCTGTTGCATGCTTACCTGCAGTTTTATTGCCTTCAGCACTTTGATGGCATGTTCAGAGATTCTCGCTTTTTATTGCTATTCACGTGATTCTCCATCTGTACCTTTAGTATGTTCTGTTGCGATGCTTTCATTCACATGTTGAACAGTAGGATTTGAAACAAGTTCGGGGAGAAAATCTTACATTATTAGCTGCCAAAAGTAATTCTATTACTTGCTGAGATTTACATTTACTGTCGAATTTTATGAATCTTAGTCCATCGATAATGCAAAAAGTAAAAATGGTGTTAAGGCAATGTGAAATTTACTGAAGGTTAGGATTGTTGTGGATAATACTAGTTTTATGCCAAAAAACTGGTTATTTTTCCTAAGCATAATAATTCTCAAGGCATTTAAAGAGGGAGGATTATGAAATTCATTACTAATATTTAGAATCTTTTAAACCTTAATGTTCTATTTCATCATAGATGAATTGACTGGATTTATTTAATACCCAAAGATCATAATAATGGATGAGTGAAATATGTGATCAAGGAAGAACTAGAAATTTTGAATTCCAAGAAAACAAAAGAAAATAATTATGCTTTACAAGATATAGTAATTCTCCTAGGGAAAAAAAAGGAGAAACAGAAAACATAAAATAAAAGGGAGAAAGAAATCCTAGGAAGATGCTTGAGGTTAAGCATGGACATATCAGAATTTGGTTTTCTAGTCTTTTCCCTATATCAGATAATTTAGTTATACTATTATAAAAATTTTAGGGATTTCATAAATTCAAGAATAATTAAGGAAAAGTCTATTGTTAAAATAAGTATTAAGTGTTTAAATATTGCTAGATTATTAAGGGGAATTATAGTGAGTCTTTATGCCGAGAAAGAGGAATTTCATGATGGGTTTAAGATTATTCTTAATCACAGAAATCTTAACTTTAAAATGAAGGTCACAAAAGCCATAATAATTGGTAAGTTTAGGGGATTAGCACGCGACAATTTTTCATACTTTTTATACTTTAGTTTTAGCAATTTTTTCCTTTTATTTCATGATTTTATGCTTTTGGAATGTTGGAATTGTGTTTCATAGGTTTATGGAGGATTAACAAGCAAATCGGAGTGAAATATGAGACTTTGGGAATTTTTAGTCAGACACAACCACGCCAAGGAGTTGGTGCCTTCTCATGAGGGCATATCCAACCTGCTTTGTAGGTGTAGTCATGACCTTTCAATTGCCTTTCGCGCCCTAGCTCTCTAGGCATAGCCACGCCTATAGGCGGCGTGACCAAGCTGCCTTACTTGAGAGGATAGCATAATTACGTTGTTACTTGAGAGGATAGCATAATTACATTGCCATTCAGGCGTGCCGTATCTGCTTCAAAAGGAAATTCCTAGTGAGTGGAATTCCGAAGATTTTGGAAAGAATTCAAATAAGGGCTTTAAAAAGAACATCAAAGGAAGAATTGGAGGAGCTTCTTGGAGAGATTTCAGAGGTGGATGCTAGGATTTAGAGAAAGTTTTCAGATCAATAAGTTTTATTTTTATTTAATAAAAATGTTACTTATAGGTTTGTTATCCATAAGATTTCATGTCTTCCTCTTCCAACATGAGTAGATGACCTTATTTTTTGTGCCTCTGTGATTTGTGGATGGTTCTGATTTGTTTTTCTTTGCAAATTTCTCATAATATGTTTTATGCGCTTTTGATGTTTACGTTGTTTTTTAACTTTCTAGCCTTCGTTTACTGCTAAACTGGCCAGTTGGTTTATTAAAATCTATCGTGATCTGTGACTTCGACAGAAGCGTAGTAAAACAATTTGGTTAACCACGAGATCTGATTGCAATAGGAATATTTTAATTGGGATCTTGCAACCAAGAAAAGGGGATTTGGGAATACTGTGAATGTCATAAAGAAAAGCAAAACTTATAATAGAATTCAAATTCTTCTTCTAATCTAGACATAGGCTTAAAAAGAAATATCATCCTTGATTGGCAGCAACCACGTAGGAGAAATTGCGAGAATAATATAGTCAGGTATCATACCTAAATCACAGAGGCACCGTCTTTTGTCTTGAAGAAACACCAAAGTAATTTGACCTTTCTTTTCTTGCTTTTGTTTTCTGCCAATTCTGATAGTATGACGTTCTCTTCTGTTTTTTGAATCACGTTGAACTAGGTTAAAATACCTAGTAAGCTATAGTTTTATCTTTTCGGATATGTTTCTTAATACACTTTACTGCGGGAATGATAAACGGTACTCTTGCAAACCGCTTTTTACATTGGCACGTATGCTTGCGTGAAGTGGTCGTCCGCTTCATAGCGATTTTACGGTCATCAATTATCTTAATCTTCAACTTCTTCATCCAAATTTAATAAATCTGCTAGCAACTTTGTGAAGTCATTCAAATGCTCATCAATAATAACCCCCTCCCCGCTGGTCTCATCTGAAATATGTAGAGTCCACGCTTTATATGGTAACGGTTCTTCATGCTTTTCGTGATATTTTTGTTCTCTGACAATCTCTAAAATTTTCCAACAGAAGTTTTCATAATCACCCCATATTTGATCTCATGGGTCCAGCAATTTCGGATCAGACCACAAGCACTCATGATCTCTCTCACGTCTCTTCAAGATATTACTCGCTATCCAAAACTGTCTTCAAATTCATATAATATAGCACATTTATCACCTCGCATCGACACACGCCAAAGTTCATATTGTCGTCAAATTTCGTTACATCGATTTTAACATGAAGTGTAACCATCATATGGATCGGCTTTTTCACTAACATAACGAAAATTAAAGAATCTGACATCATGTTATTGTTTATGGTTACCATTGTTGGAATTTCTTTTCCAAAATTCCTCTAGTAGAACACTTGGACAAAAGAATGAAGAAAAAAGTCACCCAAAAAAAATTAGAAAAGTAAAATTCTTTTCTCATGAAATTCCTTTTTTTCGAATATTCTTTTTTCTTCTAAATAGAAAAAATCCTTTTTGTATGTTTTTCTAAAATGCTTTTCTTGAAATTATTGTTCCAAAAAGAAAATTGCCTTTTTTTCTTCCCTGAGATTCGAGAAAATATTCCGTCAGGATACCATATGTCCGGACGACCAACAATCGGCGACCAAATAGCTATGGACGTCATCAGCAGGCGTCATAGCTGCAGGTGTTTAGCCGTTCGGATCGAATATTTTTTTCAGAGATTTCCAATTTTGTTTTTCCAAGTTGCCATTTCAAAGCTTTCCAAAAAATTTTTTGGTTGCACGCAAACAAGGCAAAAGAAAATCCGTCCTTCCCCACATCAGAGTGTTAAATCCAAGATTCCTTCTTTTCTTTTTTGATTTTGGAGAGTCGAACATTTCTTCAAGCATGGTCGATTCCTCAGTCGAAATTCACATCAGGTAGGGCCTCCTCACGCTGGACTGCACACTATCACTTGACCTTGCCTGAGCTTGTCAAACCTCTCACAATCTCTCTACTGTCGAGATCCCTCATGTGGCATGCCGATTTTCGCATCCAAGTCATTGACCTGCCGTCAAAATTGCCACTGAACATAAAAATTTTTCAGCAAAGCATGTCAGACCATGCGCTGCAGAAAACACAGGCAACACAAACCAGATCTCCAGTGGTCGACGTCAAACTACACTCCGATCTTGAACTCGTAACTCTAATACTAGTTATTATACAAAAACAATGCAGAAGCGTAGAAATTCACACGACAACAATTAAACACGAAAAATTTACGTGATTTGGCATTAAATTGATTCGTCTATGTCCACGGGAGAGGGGGATTCCACTAGCACCATATGGGAGGAAAAAAAACGGCTTGAGGTTACAGCTCAACACCTCATCATTTACTCACAAGTCTCTCATAAGCCCTATGTCACTTTTTTATAGAAAAAGATTACAACATAAAATTAAATAAAATTAAAAGGTCAAATTACCTCTAATTACAATAAAAGTCATAAATACAACAGTGTTTACTTGCACTCAAGATTTAGTTAAATATGATTTATTAAATCCTATAAATTTGGATTTATAAAATTCAAATACATTAAATTCAGAAAAATATTTGACCCGATTAAGATTAAATCTACTTAAATTTCTTTGAAATGTTTGACAATGAGGGAAGCGACAACCTTCCTGTATGTTTTCTTCCTTAAATCCGTCATGCAGATTTAATAAATTAAGGATTTACTTAAAAGTGAAGGACAAATTGAATTTGCAAGACGGCGAGATCTAACTTCTACTTTTTGCGTTTGGCAGGATTTAGTATATGTGAAGAGGGGCACAGATGAGCCTAAAAAAACCTTCTCCACATATACTGAGAGTCTGAGATGCACTTATTTTTAGATTCAAGAGGGATTTTTTTTAAAGATTGAATTTAGCTCTAATCAGAAGTAATAATTTTGATAAATTGTTAACGTGAAAGGATTAAATAAAAAAATTAACAAGAATTATTGGATCCATAGAACTAATTACGGGAAATTTGGCATGAGATTTGAAATATCTTCATAAAAGTAAATGAAGCCCACTAAACCGAAGTTGGGGGCGACTGACAAATTGTGTGGACAGCCAGTCGCCTTCTTTTTGGGCAACTAAATACATATTTATTTATTTATTCATTCGATTTATATAATTTAAAATAAAAAATATCTATTTTAAATTTAGCATTTAATTTAATATTGTTTTTATATATATTCAATTAAGCGATGAATCCAAAAAAGTTCACTAACCTGTCAGAAACACAGGCAACAGAAATTCACATTCCAAGGCCTCTAAGCTACTGTTAATCTGAGCTCCGATGAATGTCATATATTCATTTAATTCAAATACATTCATTCATTTAATTCAAATAGATTAAGGTCATTTTGTATACAATATCCTGAAATCTTTTAGGTCTACCTGTCTTTTTTAACAAAAGTCAAATCTAAAATATCTATCTCCTGGTCATCAGATGGTCTATGTTTAATATAACCAAACCATCTAAGATGACTATCTCTAATATTATTTGACACTAGAGCTACACCCAACTCTTTCACGGATAGATTCGCTTCATATTTTGTCTCCAAGCATCAAACCACTCAAACACCCAAGCATTCTCATGTCAACAACACTTAACTTGGTTCTATGCTTATCTTTTAAAGACAAACATTCTACACCATCAAGCATGGCAGATCTCACACCATTTTATAATTTTTTTCTTTCAAGTCTAAGCAGTACTTTTCTATCACACAATTAATGCATTCCTCCTCACACAATATGCCTAATGCATTCCTCCACTTCAACCAAACTTTACCAATGACATCCTCATCTATATCACAATCACCTTGACCAATATACTAGAGATATCTAAAAAATAATATTGATGGAGTTAGAGAAACAAAATTAAGCTCTACTTCAGTACTGCATGAAAAGTTTACAACGGATATTTAAGTTTGTACGATATTAAAAATATATGTATTTAATATGCAATTGATTCGAAAGCAAGTGATTTATCATACACAAAATATACCTCATGAATTAAAATTATCCAAAAACACCAAACTTGAAATGAAAACCGCAATAAACGACAATAAATTTTATGAAACAAATGGGAGTCCAGTCTAAATCAAAATTTTACTTATCCATTCAAAATCAGGCTTGGGCAGCCACGGAAGGCTTCGATGCAGCAGAAAGCTTCGATCTGCGCTTTGCCAAGCTCTCACTCCTGCGTTCTCTCTGTTCCTTCAGTCTCGATGCAAGAAGCTTTTGGTACTCTGCAGCCTCAGCTTTGGCCTTAACGATTCTCCTCTTCTTCTCCGCAATCCTGGCACGCTTCCTCTGCAACGCAAGGGGAGTCACAAGCCTCTGGATCTTCGGTGCCTTGCTGCACTTCTTCCCTGCAAAGGAGAGACCGGTTGAAGAATTTGAGCTAAGTCGGCCATAAGTGCCATGCATGAACATCAAAACCGTAGTTACGGTCGTTAAAAAGGGTTCAAAAACTCACCTGACTTGGTAGTGAAGTTCCGGCGATAAGTATTGACATATTTTCGGACATCATCTTCCTTGGAGAGATTGAAGAGTTTGCGGATCTTAGAGGCCCTCTTTGGTCCTCTCATTCTAGGTTTCTCAACGTCAGTCAACCCAGGAAGATCATTTTCACCTTTCTTTACAATGACAAGGTTCAAAACAGAAAGGTCAGGGCTCACAATACAGCCACGAACAGATTTCCTCCTCCGCTCCCCATTGCGCCTGCCATATCCACGGAAACACGGAGTTCCTGCCAGTTATAAATGCAGACATTAAAAATGAGGAAGCCAATTTCAGTTCTATGTTATTATGTGGAGCTGGATTGTGTCAACCAATTCACTCAGGCACTCAGTTCTGCCTCAGTGCTGTAACTGCAGTGTTGTGAATTGTGAAATGTAACTGCAGTGTTGTAAAAATTTTAAGAAACATTTTTGCGTTTTTTTGTGTTGCCATTCATATTCTCTTGGGTAAAGAATGAAGTGCGAGTATCATAGTATGTCCAAAATGTTAAAAGAGTTGAGTGAGGTGTAATTTCGTACTATTTTTATCATGTTTGTTTCATAATGAATTTCTCGCTGTGATTTGACTGATTTTTTCACATTTCTCGGGTATTTTCACGTTAAAAACTCCATGGCTTTTTCCCATTCGCAAGGTTCAGTCTTCTTCAGTCCAAAATTTTACTATGTATCTCTTGAATCGATTTTGCAAGTTACATCTGACGACATTCTAGTCACAAAATGGGCAGGAAAAATGCCGCACGGATTTGTTACCTCTGCTAAGTAGTAGCCGAACACGTCCAGGCGTCAATACTCCCTGCTTCATGGGGAATCCCTGCTTGTCACATCCTCCCATGATTTTGAAGACATAACCCTTGAATTCCTGCCATGGAAAGCATGGAATTTTGCTATTATATTCCAATTAGTTTTTATTTTAGGTGAAATATAACAACGGTACTGATTTAAGAAGATAATTCAGTTGCGGCATGCCTCTCCAAGGGCATCTCCGCTGACTTCCTGTGAGATTCTCTTGTCATAAAATGCTCGCCTGCGCGACAGGAAGATAAAACATTATAAGAGAATCTATGTTGCCATGACAAAAATCTCAAAGAACAAGAAAAATTTCAGTCTTTTCAATCATAAAAAACCAGCCAAATAAGATAATAGTTACTGATTTGTTAAAAATTTGGAATGATTAAAACTATTAAATTATTCTTTAATAAATATGTTAAAAATTTTCTCACACTGTCCATGCAAGTGATGAATCATATCCTATTCCCCATTACTGGGAGGTTTCTAGTAATTTTTATGGGAGTCTAATATTAGTAAGATTATAAATGATCATGCACATTACTTATGACAGATTTTTTATGCACTCTACCCAAAAAAAATTGTATATTAATTTGAATGAATGCTTATTTATGATTTCTTCCATTAACTTTCAGGATTCATTATTGTTCGCAATTGGAATTGAAATCATAAATATTATAAATGCTACTTTGATGCTTAGGTCTTAAGAGGTCAAGATACTTCTCATGGTAGACCAAGCCGTTCATGTCTAGCTAAGTCACATGAACTCAACCAAACTCAAAAACCCTAGCTCGATCCTCAAACTCTAGATATGATCCAAGATGTTCACCTCTTTAAACACAATTCAAGCGGTGAACTCATTATTAGATTGAACTCTAGCTTAAACTTACGTAGCAACCTTACTGAGTCAAGAAGCCCAAGCTAACTAGAACCAAACCAATGATTAATATGACTCTTCTGAATTTAGACACTTGGGGTTCATTAAATAGTATAAAAAGCTGGAACTCAAGTTATTTTGTCGACAGCATCAAAATTGATGTACTAAAAGGCTGAGAGTTTCTTATTATTTCCACCTTAGATTCAATACCGAGTTTAAAGATAAGAGAAATAAAGTAAATAATAATAATAATAATAATAATCCGACCTTTGCCTTTTTTGCATTAAAAAAATAAAAGCTTACGCAACCCAACTTATTGCTTCAATAGATAAAATTAAGTAACTTAGTTATTAAACAGCATAAACGTCCGAGTAGGACTAAATGGTTTATTATAGATAAGTCTTTATACTTGAAAAATAAGAAATTTAGCATACAATTTTTAGTCATCTTCTACTTCTCTACATTAGGGCTTAAATGAATAAAGAGTCGAAAGTAAACTAATGAGCAATGTGGATAAATGTGATGCAGAACTATCAGAAAGCTGAATTGGTAGACTAAAAAATAAAATGAATAAAACTTGAGCAAAAACGTTCATCATCATTGTTGTGTACCCATAGCAGTCATCAAGTGCTGGTAGAATTTGTGTTGAAGTGGCATCTAGAGTTGGTAATATATCGTACACACAATTAACTAATCTAAAGAAGACAAGTGGGAGATTGATATAAAGAAAACTCTCCAACTCTCAATTCAATGAATGAGCTTAAAGGTAGATAAAAACTAAAATTTCTTCTTTTTTATAAAGTTTGATGAAGTAAAGGAGAGTCATTCCTTCAAGGGAGAGAGTGGGTTATAAAACTTTTACATTCCCCCAAAAAAACAAACAAACAAACAGCTATTTATAAAGATGAGAGTGAAGTGTAGTTTAGTAGTTTTGTGGACATGAATGATGGAAAGAGATGGTTCGTCTCCAAGATCCGTGATAGGCAAATAAACCAATAGGGAAAGATCTACAATTGGCTATGGGCAAGCTGGTAGTTGTATAGCGACTAGGTTGCGGGCTTGGTACCAACTATTTGGTGGGGTTTTATAGGGTTTGTTATGCAAAACAAAATTGGATTTAGCTAAATCCTAATAAACAATTTGACTATTATTTTCAGTATTAAAGATATGAATTAATTAAATTAAATAACTAATAAAAAAAATTTATTTATATTCTATTTAAATTAATTTAGATGAAACGAATTGTAGTTGGACTACTTTTTCTGATTTATTGTGATCATTAAGACATTATTATTACTTATTCATAGTGATTGAATTAATAATAATAGCTTGGTTATTTAGTCAAGCTTGCATTAATTAGTTAAAATAATTAGATCACACTATCCAAGTTGATTCAAATTATGGCCCGTTTGGGGCAGCTTATTTGGTGCGGTGGCGTTTTGAAAACGCAACGTACCTGTTTGGATAAACTGCGTTTTAGCAGCTTATGCGTTTCCAAAATGCTGAAAACAGCGTTTTCACACCGCACCTATCTAGGTGCGGTTTGAGCTTTCTGGCTGCGGTCTAGCTTTTCCAAAAAAATAAAAATTTATAATAGCCACTAGGGCCGTAAACGAGCCGAGCTTGAGCGAGCTCAAGCTTGGCTCGTGTTCGGCTCCGTCGGAAAAGCTCCGG